AACCGATTCAATGGCACACAAACTGTTAGAGGTTCGAATTCATGGGCCATTTATTCGAGTCTCAGTGTCTGTAAGTTATACGAGCTTACCCTGTAACCGGAATTTCCTGCGTTTCAGTCCCAGTGGGTGCGCACTGCCGATGATTCCTAAACTAGAATGAAACATCTGTGCAGTACTCCAGTGCTGGTTTTCAATGTTTCTCTAACTGATATACGTCCGTGATCATCTCGTAAAAACAAATCTGATCCCCACAAACAAACCATAGTAAACCTTCTATTGTATCTATCATTTCAACTAATCATCGTGTCAAGCCAGCCTTACTGACCGTTTTTCTAGGAAATTAGTTTCTTGTGCTCTTGAACACCAACCAGTGTGTAGTTGAAAGAGTTGCTGTGAAAACTGTCAACAAGCGTAAACTGGACCAGATCTTCCAAAGTGGTCATGAAGCTAAAATTCATTGATCTCTCCCTACCGTTTACGAGCTATCTAGGAAATTATCGAAAACTGCTAGCAGCAGAGGCCACTGAGAATCCCTTGAATCCACTGGAGCTCTGCGGATGAAAAGAAACTTCGAGGCACAATTACTGACCTGGCCTGCTGTCAAGCCTGTGAATTCGTAAGCTCTCATTATGAATGAATTGATTTTCCTAATACTTCATTTCAAGCGTGCCACTGGAGACTTCCATCAACAGCAAGCTGCCTCGCTCTCTCCGCAGTAACAGCAAGGAACAAAGTGAGATTGATTTGTGCTATCGAAGCATCGTATATGATGTGGTACTCAAAGGAAGAACAATGATGGTAATTGTACTGTTTCATTTGATGATCACCATTCACTAGACATGTGCGGATAAGCTCTGTTCGCACGTTTTGTTTTCTAAGGCTTTGATATTTTTAAAGTCTGACCACTCTCCGCTACAGTGATCGTGTTTGTCCCTCAGACTGCTGATGCATGAGAGTAAACTAAAAACCCTTCGTCTCTTCAGGACAATGCAGTGACTATCATTACTCAGTTCACTTGGTGCGACGAAGAATCATGGCGACATAGTTCTCCTCATAAGACGACTCACTCACAGCATTGCATCCATGCATCACATTCCAGCCTACTCTTGCTTTGTACACACCAGTCACTGGAAAGCATCTCAACAGTCAGTGTCGTCAATTCAAGAGAGCGAATCAGAGTGTGACAACCACTGTTCGCTGATCACATTGCAGAAAATATGAATGGCCAGCAGATTCAACACTCCATTCAAAGCCACTCAGGTTCCCTCAACACAAGTCACGTGAACGGTGAGACAGCGATTCATTCTCCCATCCAATCCTCATGAGTATCGCTGAACAGGAATCGTGTGTGTGCCAGCATCAGTTACTAGGTGACTTCATCGAATATCAACCAATTCATAATGAATGGATTTTGACTAACGTCATGCGCTAACTTCGTCGTGATGGTAGACTGCACGCAATTCATCAGTCGGAAGCTGAAAATTTCAGAGAACATCAGTGTGGTGTGAAACGAAGAGGATATTCGCACACTACTTCTCATCGATGTACACGATTGTGCCTTTCACGCCGGGAATATGGGGTCAGGAAAACAAAGTGTTGACTGATGTTAACATAATTGAACATTTATTGTCGCAATTTTCAATTACAATTTACATTGCATCTGTGAATAATAAGAATGAAAAGCACTCAAAGAATGGGATAAGTGACGTCTTGAGCAAATCAATTGTCCCCTTTCTCCACATCCCTAGTCCGCTTCTTCTCAGATCATCCCACCTGTGAGTGTCGAAATGGAAAAGAAGAGAAAATGAAAGTGAACGAAATTCACGTCTACTAAAAATGTTAAACAGACACTGTACATATCTGCACATTTCTCACTCAAATGTGACTGAAATGTGTGCAACTGATTGACACGTGTGTAAATGTGAAATATCATATCCCATATGATTACTCTCATAGAGGCTTGGCTGTTACAGTGAAGGTTGAATGAGAAATCATTCATGATAAAGTCACCCAACGCATGATATTATGGCACAGCACAGCATAACACAGAAAAGCATGATACAGCTTAGCATAGCATGGCATAGCATACCGACTTACATAGTGGCATCGAGGACACTTTGATGCAGGTGGCGGAAGTTGTCGACGAAGCTCCTGAAAAATTAGAAACACTCCATCAGTACAAATCATTCATCACATCAACATTGACGCCATTCACATTTCAATTCACATTTCACAGCCGAATGAACACGCTCTCCATCACTGTACAAACGACACATGAAATTCTCTATATCTCCTATGCCAAAGAGAAAAGAGGCTGTAATTTCTTCATTCGAATTTAACACCTCAATCCATACGTAACTTATAAGCCACATCAACGAAATCTCTTCCGCTCCTCACTTCCTTCCTTCGTCAACCACTTCCTAATTTCTCTCCTCATATGAGCAGATGAAATCGTGCATCGATATCTCCACGAGTGTCAACATACCAATCACTTTGCAAAATTCAAACACACTCAGCAATATTGCACGTCGGGTCAAAGAATCGCACAAATCATGACAAATATCACATATCACTGATGCGAGTTATCTGGCCTTGCTGAATCACTCGACTAGCTTAATTCCGACTCAGTCAAATCTGTGCGATTTCCTCTATCCTTCTTGTTTCACCGATTGTATGATTCTATTTCCCTGTGTCTCCAAATGCACTCAGGCTCAATTTCAATCTCCTTCTTGACGAAGGCCTCAGCTGATGATGAAGAAGACGATGATGATGATGCTAATAGTGGTGACAATCGTGTTAGCGTATTCAACTCAAAGTCGTGGTGATTGCACATGTGGATGGACAGTCTAGTTTAAGGAATCATAAAACTCACCGCATCGGATAGACTTCTCAACTGAATTGAATAAAACAAAATAATTGAAGGCAATGAAGACAAGTTGAGAAATGGTAAAAACAGAATATTCGCTGTCACATGCGCACTCGATTCAACCGAACTGCTGTCTCTAATTGTCTAATAGCAAAAACGAAGACTCTCTGTTCGTGCGAATCCTCCATCCGACTAGTCATCACTCAAAATCTTCACTGCTATTCATATTTCGTCGCCACAGAGATTTACGGAGAAGGCGTTGTTCACTACACAGACGAGTGATGTGAACGAGGTGATGTGAGGGCGGCGTCATTTGTCACAAACACACGCTTGTCATTTTCCACAACCACTGCACAGAACACAGTTGGACAATCTCAGTCAGTATATCATCTCCTACAACCGGTTATCATTCTCACTCGAAAAATGGGAATGTTTCGAGGTGAAATGATTTCCACCACCGTGAATCACCTTCAGACACCTACTGTCGGCTCATCATTATCTTGGTTAATGCAGGGATGTATTACACTGTCAAATGAAACTAAGTGTGATACTGACCCCATCCAGCAGCATGTAAACCGTCAGGGAGTGAATCAATTTGGATTCGTCGAGAGATAAACATCAGAAACTTGGATATTTCCAATGATTTCCAGTGTTGCAGAGTTCACATCTAGTCCGTCTTCACAAATATTGAAAATTCTTTAAATACACCCTGAATCTCAATGTCTGTTCTCAATGCAAACAACTTCGATTTATAAACACCATTCACATAAACTTTGCTGGTGAATCAAGGGAATCTGATGATATAGATTTCTGAGAGAACACAGAACAAGTATCACAGCTGAATGTGCGCTAATTTCAAAGTTTCACTCATGAGAATTTGCTTATCAGGAATCCCTTCAAAGTACAAAGTGTGACTGGTGAGGCTGAATTCTCCGATTTCACATGAACGAATTCCGTCGAATTCTCCATCCACTGAATTAACATCCACCCATCCATGTGAATGCAATACACGTCAGTTTCCGGACAATCCAGATATCAGTGCAAATCACAACCCCACTTCGGCTGTCGTCAGTCGTTAACTGGTTCAGCTGGTCGTTGAATCATTCAATGGTCGAAACAACAACACGCATTCGACAAACACGCAGGTGATGCAAATAACTCGGCGGTTAAGTGAAGCAGCACAAATGTCTGTTTGTTACTTACGCATGAACATTGAACCGTCGCATACCCCTGAGTATACGTGAAATATCTATACTGGGATTGCCACTGTGGTGCCTAGAGTGGAGGGGAGCAGAAAACAGCAGAAAATAAACAGAGATGATGTTTGCATTTGTGAGTCAACTTGTCTCCTCAACTCACCTGTCTCTATGCATAGTCTGGATGTCAGAATGCATTGCAAGGTGACCATGTGGTGAGCCTGTGTGGATTCATTTTCACAAAATCATTTCGCATCACTGACATACTAGTTCGATACAGCATATACACATCTGACATCATGATCAGAAAGCGAACCGTCGTGTGTGTGACAGTGGATAATTGAGTGCCAGGTGAGTGGAACGTTTCATTTCTGTTGGAATGTGGTTTGCGAGTCGATCGATCCACAGTGCATAGATAAACGGATTCAATACAACCACAGATTTTATTTTCACAAGTGATGAAGGCGAGACTGAGGGAAAGACGCAGATAAATTGTGAAGGAAGGAGATTGATGGTTTGCGCAGGACACCTTCTTAATATCAAGCGTCTTCTGACACAATTTCTAACGTCCGATCATGACCAGTGTATTCAGAATACATCAATGATTTCTATGCACCTCGAAATTCATCCTTCCTCAATCAAACATAACACAGATGCCAGCACGTCATCAGCATTTCACTGCAGCTATCAATTATGCTCATGTTAACAAAGAAGGAGGAATTATTTTAGAATGTACATTCTGGATTCACTCAGATGCATGAGTCAGAGACACAAAAGCATTCTCACACACAACCACGAGGATCGGTGGACAGCCTAATGAATCTGTCGGTGCGAGACACAACAACCCGTCACATGGCTTATCCAAACAACCAACGAATACGTGTTTGACATCACCTGTGACACTACACAGACAACGTCAACATAAACAACTGACTTACCGGCATGTCTGCGCCAACTGAAAGTATTCAAGGAAACAGTGACCATTATCAAATAAGAGGAGAAGAAAAGAGATTAGAGCAGATTTGTACGTTCACAACGAACAGCAAACATTTCGTAGTGGGATATCGATTTGTGGAAATTGAAAGCACTTCGAATTCACTGGTGACAAGAGATGAAGCTGCACATTCTCACAGCATCAAATCAACATCCAATTGTGTCCGCCATATCACTCGTGAACAGTGAGCATCTTGAACAGCCACACATTTGATGAGTTTGTGTCACGTGAACCACAGAGATGAACACACACTCCATTTGTGTAATTGATCATATCCAATGTCTATCAACAAACATGAAATCTCCGTGTCTGTGTGTGTGTCGGATATGCGTCGATGCACTCGGAGTAATTATGCCAATTTGCAGAATATTATGTCAGCGAATTCCGCTCATTCTTCTGAAACAACCAATTCGAGTTTTCCGTTATATGAAACACACATATTTCTGACAACTCATTCCGACATTTATTCACCGTGATTCCTCAATGAACATGTTTGAATATCGACCGCGTGAAGGCAAACGGAGTGCAGCTTAGTAAGGATAATGCCTGAATGACAAGATAACTAATGCGACTCAACGTCCTCGTCAAACACACTCGTCTGAGAATCTCAGTCAATGACATTCCACACAAACAACTGCGGTAACACGAATCCATTGCATCAGTCACACAATATGAAATGAAAGTACAATCAAACTTGTATCACACATGCAGACACACACAGAGAAAAGAGACTGAATATTCGTGTGACTCGACATCAGATTGTCAGGCGAATGATAATATACACCGTCGACTTACCTTGAATTCCACTTGTCGACAGAAGAACGAAACAGAGGAGTAATGACCAGAAAGACATTGTATGAAGCACTGTATGAAGCAGAGTAATGCACGAGTTTGACATGAAGCCGACATGGATCTCCTTTTATACACTCGTAATCTGTGTCATCACAGTTCGTGTCTGTGTCAGTGACTGTGACTGTCAACACTGATTGTCTGTCACAGAGTTGACCAGTCGTAATGTTAGTCAGTTTTCACCAATCAGTGTTCTTTCTGAAGTGTTGTGTTTGAACCAATGCAATGTGAGGGGAGGAACAATGCGTTCAATGCCAAATACTCTTCTTCACTCACTCACCCACTTGCTCTCTGATTGGCGGCGATTCAGTCTTCACAAAATCAGATAATCGCCTGAATGTAGACACACGTTGACTGCCTCCCTCTGCCTATTTATCAAGGTTTGCCTTGTTTCACTTTATAGAACCGTGTGTCCACCGACTCACTCACAAATCAGTCGACATAATGGATAAGATTTTATTTTGATAAATCAGAGCCTTGCACTGCGCGTCATAGAGAGCATCTCAAACAAACTACAGACCCTTATTAACAGCCGTCTTCGCTCAACACTACTCATGATCAGATGGCCAGAAAAGATCAGCAACAGAGATCTATGGGAGCGAACCAACCAGGAACCGATTGTGAAACAAATAGGCAGGAAGAAATGGAGATGGATTGGCCATACTCTGAGGAAACTATCAAGTGACATCACACGCCAAGCCATTGCTCGAGTGGAACCCGAAAGGGAAGCGGCGAGTTTGTCTTCAGTGTGAGGGTGACTCTGAGGAGGTCATGTGAAGAGGAGATGAAAACGTGTGGGCAGACTTGGAGCCAGGCGAAGACTCTAGCAGAGAACCAAACTCAATGGAGACGCATCGCTGAAGCCCTATTTTTTTCCAGGAATTAGAGGAAACAATAATAAATAATAATAAATAATACCCTGTGCCTATGCTTTCTATGGTGTTTCCGTGGCAGACAAATATGCTGTAGTCAAGTGAAAAAATATGAGTATAAAGCTATTTGTAGTGATGTGTGGTTTCATCATATATAGAAATATAAACCATTCTTTTGTGTTCTGAGTTAGATAGAGAGCTTGAAACCTTAGGCTTTGAAGCTTTGCTGGCAGCGGTGTTATTGTTTACTTACTGGGTGGGATTGCTAGACTCACAGCAAACCTCCCTTTAGACGGGCGAGGTTAAGGAATGCGTCAGTTGAAAAAATTGAACCGGGATAAAAAATGGAGCGTGTCTCTGGCAGGTATTCAACCCGTGAAACACCGAAGGATATATAATTCATATCCTTAGAGGTTCTGAAGTCTCATCTTTAGTTAGAGTAAAATACAGCTTCCTCCCATTCCAGTGCGATAACATACACGTATATTTAATTCCATATTAGTTTGTTTATTTGATATATCACACAGTGAAACAGTATTAGTTACTGGATGACGTTTCGAACAAAATTTATTGTTCATAATCATATCAATTATAATACCACGACTTTGACACTTGAGTTTTATAGTTTTCTTTGTTCTCTCCTATTTGTCGTTTGGAATTACTTACTACCACAGTGCCCAAGTTTTACACATACACGTATATTTAAGTTAAATAATCCAACACGAGTATAGAGATATGTCCTCATAGGAGAAATCATTTTGACCGGAATCTTCAGTCAGCCATAAATCCATACGTTTACCCCGTATGTTGATGTTACTTTGGTAACCAATGGCTTTGTTATGGGTTTCGAATATTTATTCGACAACAGGTTTTTATATGGTTGAATGCATGCAAGAATTCCTAGTTGCTTATACTTTCTGGCTATCTGATCTTTCAAGATACCCCGAATCTTATGAGATTCTCGCGAAGTCAGTATATGACTCTACATGTTGATCCTTCATTTCAGATTTATCTGTGAAACTTATTTATTGTAGACTCTGTGGAAAGAGGATCCTTAAGAAATGCACTGTAAACCAGCTTTTAATTCTCATTCCAAAAAAAACAGTTGGGGATGATAACATTTTTTATTTCATGTATGTCTTGTTGAAGGCTTCAGGACTGGAGACTTTCTTAAGTGAGAAATGCTTGTGTTGGAATTTCAGCGGAATATTGTTCTCTTTTACTCGATGGATATTTGGACTAACAGCAGGATTTCATCAGTGTCTTTTTGTGTTACTTTGGACCCATCGTATAGATTTACCTGAATCCTTGTGAGGTTTCACATGCCCACTGCGAATCGAGATGCTTATCGATTGTTCTGAATACTTAGTGTTATCCACTAGGTAAGTAAGTCATAATATTGACTTCTTCGAATCATAAATATGACGAGTGTTCACTCAGGAATCCATCCGGCATTATACACTGTCGAACAAAAGACATAAAATTAACCACCAACAGTTTGATTAATTACCAATACTTGAATGTCGATGAGATGCTCGCTGGCTACTGGACCTATTCAGGTAGATAGTTTTCTGGGGTTCTAGTGAGAAGGCGTTACCAGTACGGTGCAGCAAGTCGGATGTGAGGACAAATACCCGCCAGCGAAGACATTGACTAGCGGTCGTAATATGTCTTGAATTGGCAGAAGTTAGAATTCATGGGCTGGTCATTGGATCGGGTCCCAGCGGCTTAATGATCTATGAGCTCGCTAGCCTTGTAACCAGAAGGTCCTGGGTTCAAACGCTGCCGGTGGGTGCGTACTGATGTGGAATTCCAAATTAGGCTGACGAAACAGCTGTACATTACTCTCAGGTTTTCCAATGGTTCTCTCACCAATTTCAGTTCATGATGAAATCCAGTAAGCAATCAGTGAAATCCCTACAAACCAATACTGGAAAACTAATATAATTGGAAATTCACAATTTTAAGGATATATTCTGGTTTCACTTGAGGCACAAATGTCTACTAATCAGATTTTCTTCTTGTCGTTGATACCAACAAACTTCTAATAGGTGTTATAATAATAGAAAGTTTAAAGGAAAGATATCCCCTAATTTTCTCCTTGTAGAATACAGAAATCATTCACCAGAAGATAACAGTTTCATTCTACTGAATCCAAAGTGGAACACTGAATTGGTGTTTTGCAACTTGACGTCTAAAAGTTTCAGTAACCAAGATGTCATTTTTTGACAACAGAGTGGATTTATCAGTGTGATGCCTAATCTTTCTTGACTTATCGAACTTTTAACCTATCAAGGGAGCTTTAGGAGGATTGTGTCACCCTTGAAACAAACGTGGACCACATCCGTAGTAGTTGGCCAGCATTCAACCAGTGGACCTCCAGAAAAATAAAAGTATGCGTTGGTAGCACAGCGGTTAGGTCGCTCGCCGACTATGCAAAGGACCCGGGGTTTGATCCCCTGCCGACGCAATTCATTACCTCACTCAACCAGTAATGAGACGGGTAAAGAGAAAAGGTTGGGCATTAGGCTAGAGACCCCATCCCGTAAAAATAAACTCTGCTACAGAAACTTCAAGCCTCTAGTTTGAAGACTTTCGTTCCACTGGGAACGTGAAGGAATAAAAAAACCTCAAAACAAGCTAAGTCTTGTGATTTGAAGGTCCCAAGCTTTCTCTTTCTCTTTGAGTTGTGAGTGAGCACTGTGAAGATTCGCAAAAACAGGACGAAACAGATGTGTAACTCTTGTATCTTACCTATTCTACTTTACTGCTTCCCGTTAGTCTTTCCTGGTCTATTGAAAAAGGACTATACCATCCTGAGAAGGATGTTGAAATTATTTAGTAGGACTGATGGCGTAAAACTCAATCAGCTCGTCACTGCATTAGTTGATAGGCATCTGAATACATGCGAAAAATGGTCAAAAACCATACTGTCCGACCCCCCTGCAAACAACACCCAATCTATCCCCATCTCTCGCCTTGTATCTCAACAAGAAGAACAAGAAATCAGTGTAAAATAATCTATGCTCGTACAACTAAGTACAGGAACTCAACGATACCGTATTTGGCCGTGTTCTAAGTGACAGAGACAAAGTTATACGCGAAACCTATGACTTGCTTTGTTATTAATAACATAATTTTAAGCTCTTTCATTTCTCTTTCTTATTTTGTATTCTATAGTGAACTCCTTCTTAAACATACTTAGCTACCTAAATTAATAACATTGGCTTCCTTTTTGTAATTTACTGTATTCTTTCTTTTGTGTACCTACTGGTTCCGACTATATTAGCACTGTGAGTATTACAAAATTGTCCTGTCATTAACCAACATGCAATTATTAGTTTTTGTGGTTTCTGTTTTTTGTTTCTTTTTTTGGTAATATTAACTGACAAACATTGATTGTGAACGCCATTCTCACCACCTTAACAATTTTGTATTATTCAGGATTACTCACACTACCACTACAAACCCCACATTAGACCTGAAAATAAAAAACAAAAGAACAACCCTGAAATGTTATATTATGGTTGTTAAACGCTTGTTTCCCAACTAATGATTGTCAGATAATATTGCCGAAAAAATAAAAAAAAAACAACTACAAAACTAAAAGTTACATGATGATTAATGACAGGACAATTTTCTAATGCTCATAGTGGTAGTATTGTCGGAACCAGTAGATACACAAAAAAACGAATAGAGTAAAGTACAAAAAAAGTAAGCCGATGATAATAAGTTAAGTAGCTAAGTATGTTTAAGAAGGAGTTCATTATAGAATACAAAATAAGAGAAATAAAATCGCCTAAAATTATGTTATTGAAAACAAAGCAAGTCACAGGTTTCACGCTTAAGATTGTCTCTGTCGCTTAGAAAACAGGCCAAGTATGGTATCGTTGAGTTCCTGTACTTGGTTTTTCGGCCATAAAATATGCGGATTTTTTATTCTACCTGATGAGATACAAGGCGAGAGTTGGGAATAGAAGGGGTATAAAGGGTTTGAGAGTATGGTTTTAGACTATTTTTCGCATGTATTTAGATGCCTATCAACTAATGTGGTGAAGAGCTGACTGGTTTTCACACCACTGGTCCTACTAACTACCTTCAACATCCTTCTCAAGATTGTATTGTCCTTTTTCAATAGCACAGGAAAGACTGACACAATTCTCCTAAAGCTCCTTTGATAGGTTAAAAGTTCGATAAGTCAAGAAAGATTAGGCATCACACTGATAAATCCAC